GCCTACAGATTTTACATGGAATAGTTTTAAGCTTGACCCTGAACTTGAACCAGACAGAAAATTTATTGAATTGATTTATTAGTTGCTTCAAATGCTTTAGATGTACTTATTTATACATTCGTATATTTACAGAGGTACACTCATTTACATGCAAACTTGAATTTGCTCCGTAGGAAATTGGTTCAAATATTAGTGTCGTCATAATCATAGTAATTGGAAATATATTAATAATATTGTTTTTAAAATTAGGAGACATAAGGATAGTGCTCTAAACTTAAGGCTTCATTATTGTCTTGTGGGCTGGAATCATTAATGGGTGATTTCGAGATTGTGAGAAAAATTTTAAGTGAACACCGATATTTTAACGACAGACACCACTAATGGTTGACAAATATTTCAAAAGTATCTCAAAAGTACCATATCGATTATTATTTTGATTTGATATAGAATTTATACTAAAGATACAAGATATAAATTTATTTTTGATAATTTTACTTTTTTCAAAATGCAGCCATTAACCATGTTGTATCAAAGAACGATTTCTTACTTTTTTGTGTAAGATACATTCTTTTGGTGTTTCCAAAATTCAGGTATGAGTCTCACAAGTCCAATATGGCTTATCACAATGATATTTTGATCGGTCAATTTGTATGGCAGCTATATGGTAGAGTGCTCCGATCTGATCTGTTCAGAGATTGTAGCGTTACCTTGGCCAATAATCTATGATCAATTTTGTGAAGACATCTCTTCAAATATAACATGTTTTCCATATAGAACTTGTTTTTGATCGGTCAGTTTGTATGGCAGCTACATGCTATTGTGATCCGATATCGGCCATTCCGACAAAGGCGAAGAGAAAATGACGTGTGCAAAATTCCAAATTGATATCTCAAAAACTGGCGGACCAGTTACGTATTGTATATATAGACAGACGAACATGGCTAGATTGACTCAGTTCGTGACGCTCATCACTTACATATACATATTAAGTAGCAAAAAAAGCTGCGACCCAAATTTTCATTCATTTCAATTTGTTTATTGTTTAATTAACCTCTAATTTGATAAATAAAAGATGGACGAATTGTCTGGCAAACAGTTAACACATTTCCTAGAGGGTGTGCTCACGTATATGTGTATAGGTTTTTCAAAATATGCTTAACACAGATATGAACGAATAAGTACGAACACATTTCCATATTTTAGGGTGGAGTTGTTAGAATGGCAGCACTTTAGAAATGTTAATTGGCTAATAAATTATGTCTAAAATACACTAAATATGCGGTGCACAATTATTTGGTTGCCAATATGACGTAATATAACTGCTATATATGTACATATATAATAATAGAATAATGTTCAAGCAAAAGCAACATTTTACGAAGCTAAGCCTTAAAATTAACTGCTCATGCTATGCTCACTAATCCCGAGTGCCCAAGCGCCTATATATATGTTGGCGATTTAAACGCTTAAAAAATGTAATAAACAGATTGAGATTGATTTCAAGACTCAAGGATCTGGCATGCAGTTCTCATTTCGCAATTTTTCAAAATTTCCTGGTAAAGGTTAATTAAAAATTTTTTTTTTTGGGTTTTGATTGATATTTCTAACAAAATGTAGCACTGATAAATGTCGTTGATAGCATTCAACAACATATGTATTCCGTATATACACATACATATGAACATAACTTCAATTTAATACTCACATATGTACTTGTATATACCCTTTGAATTTTAAAGACGATTAGCATTTTGCTTTCTTGTTAATCCACAATCGCCGAAAACAGCAGTGTGTTCTCTACTTATTTCAATTTGAAATGATTCTTATTTATGTTCACTCCAAAATTTGGTGAATTGTAATTAGATATGAATAAGCTTGCGATTTGAGACACAATAACGATTTAGTGAATGCAATAAATAAACTAAAGGAAAGAAAGTTAAATTCTTAATGGATTTATAGCAGTTCAATTTTTGGTACATAAATACGTAGCATACATACATACAAGTATATCTATACATAAATTTACACAAACATTTATGTACATATATCTACCGATTGTTACACAATAATTTTGTTTGGCCTTTGCTGTAGGCGTTGAGGGTGTGTTGAGGTTAAGTGCACGGATTAAATATTATCTAAATCTTTTATGCTTCGTTTCGGGCAAACACTTAATCATTTCGGTATCCAAAAATCGTGCGTGACTGTTTCAAATGGCAAGCGAAACACAATATATATATATGCATTTGTATGTAGTTCTATACAAATTAACATGATGACGTTATCTAAGATTCACTCTTTTTGTTTTCAAGTTTCCAAAAGCAAGAAAAAACATGAAAATATCGAAAATTAATTTTTTTTTTTTTTGTAAATGCAGTCATAACCTTTTTACAAACACTTACCACATACTTATGCAAGCAGTTTTTAGTATACTTACTAAAAAGTCTAAAGACTATTTTTACGAATTTCATTTCATCATCTTAAGTTCTTATTTTTATTTCTTAAATCAGACAGCTTAAAATACACAATATATTTATTAATATTGTTTATTATGGATTTTTAATTATTATCAAATAAAATCATTTTCCTCTTCCAGAAGGAAGCGCCAAAATTTTTCTCCTTTAGTTTATAATAAAGTATCCAAAAATAATGAGAATAGTAGCCAGGACAACTCTGTGATTCACTAATATCTGGTTTCCATTCTTTTATAAATCCACTCTTAAACAATTGTATGAAGAAATCTCACAGAACTTAATTTTATTTCGTATCTGCCAAACCACACCCTCCTACTAACTCATCTGGAAAGAATATAAAATGTGGTGTATAAAAAGGATCTAACAGAAATGTTTATAACTAGCATCAGGCCGGAAGTGTTTCCTTTTATAAGCTGACTCTGGGACTGCCATCGCTGGGACTGCCATTGAATAAAAGGCTTAACATTATAGCTTTACGAATGTTGTTGCTTGCCAAACGCTGGCTCTAAATCGATCAGTCATTCCCAACTATTAACCCAGTATTATTATTTCTTGAAAGTTTTCGGTTTTGCCGCTTCAAAAATATTGCTTAAAATAAAATCTAAGAAATTATTTTGTAAAACTTCAAACAGAGCCGATATGAAAGTCTATGCAACATTTTATTCAAAGTTACTTTTCAAAATTTTCCTACAGGGCACATTTTTGCTCATACTTATGTGTGTAACTACCTAAGCGATCTGTTTATGCTTGATAAATGAATGCGAATAAATCTAAGACATTTTGTGGATCGTTAATTTTTTATAATGAATCCAATTATCCTACAGTAAACATTTGTACATGCCTATGTACAAACACGAGTATACGAGTACATACATAGATATTTTTAAGTGGAAGACGAAACGCGAACGTATTCGCTTGCCGCGGACCGTCATAAATCTCAATGTCTTCATATACTCATATAGAATAAGCAATATTTAAGACCGCAAATCATTCATACTCAGTAATTTTTTAAACTTTTGCGAACATGGTATGTTTGTATTAGATGATTAAAAGATTGCTTTTAAGAGGTATAGAACTTTTATTTCCAATGAAACATAAAAATATTAATTATAATTATAAAATTTTGATAATCTCTTCAGGATTACTCGAACTCCAAATACAATTTTACTTATTTTCACATCCGCTAAACCAAAAATACACTCTTCTTTTCTGATGTGCACAAAGAAATTTCCATGATATTTAGACGTTATATGATTTTGCAAAATTAAAAAAATAAAATCGAACATAGTTGGTGTAAGTTGTGCAGCGCATATCGTGCATAATGCGATTCGTAACGTATCTAATGCACTTCATGTTGAAATAGAGAACATTATTGTTCAGATCTACACACATTTTTATATCCACACCATTCGTCAAGAAGCATTAAAGTCAATCAGCGAGATTTCTGAAGACGAATACGATCAACTAGTTGGTTACGGCAAAACTCGGTTCATTGGCTTACGGGAAGCTGTGGAGAAAATCATTCGAATGTTCCAACTTTTGAAAACGTATTTCGACGATCTTCCTTCACCCCTCAAAAAAGCCAGATGCATCCGCCATTTTTTCAGTAATCCACTATCAAAGTTCTGGTTAATTTTTGTTCATTAACTGGTGAAAATATATGTTAATTAACTGAAATTTTTCCAAAATCGAGAAATTATTTAATTATTATCGCATTAACTCTAGGCCATGATTTTCGAAGAAACAATAAAGAAAATTGAAGGCGATGATATTCCAGCAGTTGCAATTTACAAACACTTGCAACATTTATTGAACAATTTGCAAACATCCAACCAACACAATTACTTTCTGTTGCAAGTAAAAACGGAAATGGAGAAGCTGAAGAAAACTGAAAACTATGACTTGAAGCAATTTGAAGTAGAGGCGAAACAATTTCGAAGTAAATATTTAATTTTACACCTCAGTTTTCGTTTTCTCATTTTTAATTGTCTTCAATATGTCAATCAGGTGATTGCTACGAATATCTTAAGGCATGTTTGCACATGTAAAACTATTTGGTTGAGTGCTACTCACTGATAGACTCGACTGAGAAAAAATTGATATAACGTTAATTTTCCCTTACAGAAAATAATATTTTGAAAGCATCAGACACTACGTTCACAAGTTGTTCGAATAATTCACTTATATTTTTCAGTATATAGGTGACAAACGATATGATGAATGGAGCAAAGTGCAGACATCCACCTAAATCTAATTATTTATAATATGCAAGTTTGAATGTGGCATATACTTCATACTCTAACCATTTCGAAAAATAAAAATAAAACATAAAAAAAGTTTACTCGTATAAAGTATTGTATACTTTTAGGAGTGGAGCATAGCCAAACTCTCAGCTGACTCTTTTTAATAGTCTTGTCTTTTTGTAAATTATTATTATTATTAATGCGCTTTTAATATTTAAATCATAAAAATAATTAATATACTTACTACAAATCATAATAAATATTTATTATATATTTTCTCTTTGCAGTTATTAATTATTGAGTCGTAAGCCCGGACAAGTCCTCTCTTAAACATACTACGAGTACATATTTAGATGCAAATACATATCTCCAATGCAGCTAAAGCATAAATTGCAAACATATCTTCATTTTTAAAAACATAAACAGTTATAAGCGCAACAGTGAATACTCAAAAAAGTAGCAGTTTAAGTGTTAAAAAACGATCTACAACCAATTAAATATTTATTTATAAACAAAGAACTCAGCACAACAACAAAATGCGACTGTTAATATTCATTTTAGCCTGTTGTAAGTATTAAACCGTTATTATTTATTTAAAAATTATTTTCAAGAGTAAATATAAATTTTTTATATGTTTTTTTAATGCCAAAATATATATAATATATGTATATATATTAGGATGGAGCGAAAAAAAAATTTTTTTTTTGCTTAGCCTGGGGTAAAATCTGTAGATTATAGAAAAATAAAATTTTTGAACAAAAACAAAAATTTTTTTAACATCTAGAGGCGCACTCAGTTTAAAGTAAATTTTCGAGTTAAAATTTTTATTTCGTAAAAAAATTTTGATAAGAGTTCTAGAAGCTGGGAAGAGGCCAATTAAAAGTTATCCACTTAAAATAATTTTTTTGGTCATTATTGGAGTTTTAAAAAAGGTCTTAAACGACAACATGCTTTCCTTAAGCGTCAAAATAAATTTTGAGTCAAAAACCGTCACGTTCTGTAATTTTTATATAAATGTAAGAGTTTTTTAAAATAATTTTTCTTGTCCAAAAAAAGTTTTAACTCGAAATTTACTTTAAAACAGAGTGCGCCGCCTCTAGATGTCAAAAAAAATTTATATATTATAGGACAATATTTTAAAATAAAAATATTGAAGATATATATATATATTGAAGAGACATTTTTTGTCACTGCTCTTTGATAAAATTCAGAATCATTACAATAGTATAATTGTAAATTGTGGTATAGTAGTATACTGTACGCAAAAAAGCGAAGAAGGCCGCAAACCTTAGTAGATTACAATATATATTATAGAGGCACACCTGGTGTAGCAACCCAAAAAAACGATTTTCGGAAATTAAAAAAATACTGCTGTATCGATCATAAAATTTTATGGGTATATTTATATTATATTTGATCAGAACAAAAAACTGGTAGGTCATTGTATGGAAAACTAACATATAGAAAATGCAGAAAAAATGTAGTAGTGATCGGATCATTTGTCTCCGAGTACTCGCTCAAACAAATTTGAAAATTGTAGTTTTGAGAAAAACACGTTTCAAGATAAATAGTTTGAGCTGATTGATAGGATAGGATAGGCGGTTGCTTTTGCAAATGAATGAATGAGGTTCATTCGGAGTAAAAAAATCAACAAGGAGCTAATGCATGGCTTCAGAAGCTAATAAGCAAGTTGAAAAATATCATAAGTTCACATTTTATACTCTGGATTAATGACAGTCTCATAATGATGTAATTATCGGCCAAGTCTTCACCTAGCCACTATATGCCGACTGATATGATTACCATACATAATTTGACTTCATACATAATTTATCGGTGCATATATGATATATTTAAATACAATGAAGCGATTATAACACATTTAACTTTATAGGATTTGGTACTAAAATTTAACAAAAATAGTAGTATTTTAGATCCGAGTTATTGTATATGTTAGTTTCACATTCTTTGCCTTTTTATACTCTCGCAACCTGTTGCTACAGAGTTTAATAGTTTTGTTCACCTAACGGTTGTTTGTATCACCTAAAACTAATCGAGGTAGATATAGGGTTATATATATATAAATGATCAGGATGAAGAGACGAGTTGAAATCCGGGTGACTGTCTGTCCGTCCGTCCGTCCGTCCGTGCAAGCTCTAACTTGAGTAAAAATTGAGATGGTTGGTATTGCAGATGGGCGTAATCGGACCACTGCCACGCCCACAAAACGCCATTAATCAAAAACAAATAACTTGCCATAACTCAGCTCCGCAATAAGATACAAGACTGTTATTTGGTACACAGGATCACATTAAGGAGGGGCATCTGCAGTTAAAACTTTTTTTTAAAAAGTGGGCGTGGTCCCGCCTCTAATAGGTTTAATGTGCATATCTCAGACTACAACCACGCTTACTTCCCATGTAACACCATTTTCAATTCCATCTGATTCTTTCACTTTCCACTATGCAAATCAGGTAACAATGATTATATCGGGGTAAAACTTTGCGTGAATAATGCAATTAAAGTATGCCACCTTGCGGCAAAAAATTGTCTAAATCGAACCAAAACTGTTCAAGCCTCTAAGTACTAAATATGTGGGCCCCAGTGCCTATAGTTGACCTTCTACCGAAAATATCAGTCAATCCATAAAGAAATCTCAAACGAGTATACTATTTGACTTTGCGAGAGTATAAAATGTTCGGTTACATCCGAACTTAGCCCTTCCTTACTTGTTACAATATAAACTTATACGCCCCGAGTTGTTATAAGTAATTTATTTATTTTATTTAATGTAACCACACTTAAATTATAAATTCCATCTCCTCGTAGTGGCACCCTACATTAATGCATATCATGTGTCAGCCGCCACAGCGGGCGTGTCCTTCATGAATGAAAACTATCTGGACCATCGTGTGTCACAAGCGTTCAACACACAGAATGCAGGTTCGAAGGCATTGAGCAATCGGCGCATGTACGGCATGTGTCCGCCACACTTCCAACGTGTCGGCTCCGAATGCTATTCGCTGCTGCCACAGGCCAGCAGCTGGCTGGAGGCGCATTTCTTCTGCAAAGACAAGAATGCGAAATTGGCAGAACCACAGTATAGAGCCGATCGGAAATTGCGCGTTTTCCTCAAAAAATACGATGCACAGCGTGAATGTAAGTGGCATGGAAATGAAACAGAGGAAAATAATTTAATTAAAAACCATTTTTTTTTTCTTGCAGTAACTGGTCCCATTTGGATTGGCGCCACCTACGATTGGCAGAGTAATGTGTGGCAGTGGAGCATTAGCGGCAAGAATTTAACATATGACTCCTTCAGTCGCATGGAACCTGAGTAATACAGTTTTTCAACTTTTTACTTATATTTTAGTTTAAAGTTATTACGTTTTTAATTTTTTTTAATAAAAGTCAAAATTTTTTTTAATACAAATTTTTTTTTAATCAAAGTATTTTTAAATAAAATATTTTTAATAAAAATTCAAATTTTTGTAAACAAACATTCGAGATTTTATTAATGAGCGCCTGTTTTGCAGGATCAGACAGAACCTGGAAAATCATTGTGCTGTGTATGACCCAAATCTAGATTACAGGTTAGTGCTAATATTTTATTGTTAAAATTATAACCTAATAAATAATGTTGCCACATTCATTTTCCATTTTTACATACATATGCTAATGCTATTAAAAATATTTAGCTTAACTCTTAACACTAACCAGATGAGTGCGTTTAAATGAAACTAATACAAAACTAGGCGTTTTGAGTAATCAAATGGTGTAACTGTAAACCAGTGTTTTGCTTGCCAGAAGTGAACCTCATATTAAGATTGCTTAAGAATCGCGCTCACTAACACTTGATCGATGCATTTCAAGCATAGCTTCTGCCATAGCTCTCTTTTGGCTGTTTTAGTAGCAGAAAGTAGCTCTGCGCGGTAATCGAACGGATTTTAATAAGTAGACTTTAATATTGTGTGAGCTCTTCAATACTCTAGGAGTCTGTATAAAAGAAAATTTTCCAACAAAAGTAGATAACTCTGCTATGAGAAGTCAATTGACGTTTTGAGATTAACGACTAGCTAACAAGGAAGCGTACCCTCGCCACAACCTTCTCAGACTGTAAATAGTTGGAAATCTTTCTTGCCCCGAGTAGAGCGGGGAGACTAGCACCAAGGATGTCACACCTTCTTTAAACCGGTTAAATCGGCTGTAATTACACACAACAAAGGTTTTTTAGGCTCTAAGTGCTTCCTAAATCCATGAAGTACTCTAGATCCATACCTAGGAACCTAAACTAACCTAACTTTAGACTAAAAATATAAAATAGAAAATCTGTCAGTCTTCACTTAATCCTTCAACCGCATTTTTATTCCAAAATGCATTATGAAGCGAGAACTTCATCATCGGTCTCGTATCGGTTGTTATAATTCATCGAAACCTGGTGATTTACTACAATATACACTAAGCAGGTTGAACAAGAGTTTCCGCCATAACCAAGTATCTACCGGCATCAATTGTCATGAATCACCTCACCTTTTGCTAAATTTTCGGACATTCCTTCTGTCTGTCAGCATTTTATGTGCTTCAAACTCACGACATTTCTCTCTTTCGTATTTATCTTAACTGCTGATAAACTTCATTTATAGTCCTCGTTGCATCCGATCAGAGAGATAATATAGGCAAAGTCTTTTCTTATCGCAGCAACCATATATGATCGGTCGCAATAGTATATTTTTCGGAGAGAAAACTCAACTTAAAAATTTTCGGCGACGATATGTCGAATAGCGAATACTGTCAGTGCACAGGAGCGCAGATCACGAATCTGTTAAGTGTTGGTATAGTTTCAGTCTTTAGTTATACAGTCTTTCTTCTTCTTCTTTGGCACTACAACCCTGGGTTGCTCTGGACCGAGAAGACAGAACTTCACCAATTGCCTCTTTCCTTTGCAAGGTCACGCCAGTTGTGCATTCCAAGATAGGTCGCTTGCACCTGTTCCTTCCATTGGATGTGTGGACGCCCCTGCTTAAGTTGTACACTCATGGTTCTCGAATGGAAAGAGCTTTTCTACCAGCTTTTTAACACCTGTTGGCAAAAGTTATTCTGCGCCAGTCTTTAGCCGAATAAAAATCTGGAGCCGTTCGGATTACGTCGACTCAAAGGTCAATTTGTCGAACTTTCTTCGTCGATAAAATGACGGCTTGAATGATTTTTATATATATAATATAAAAAACTCATATGTACAATATGTGACTCCCGCTTGATTTATTTGCCATATAAACTATAACTAAGTGATCGTGGAAGGTGTTTAAAAACATGATTTTAATTGCAAATACAATATCATAGTCCAAACACACTCCCATAAATGAATCCAACAATAACATACTTAAAATGCGAGCGAGAAAAGCGTGAAGCAGCTAATCAAGTTGTTCGACTGCGCATCAACGCAAAACGTATCGCGGTCAATTGACGTGTTAATGATGTGTAGCGCCAAACAAGAATCTAAACAAACGTTATAAACATATATTCACGCCTAAAAACACTAACACATACTTATGCATACATGCAAACATATTGGTGTAATGAAATAGAAATCACTCAGCGCCAACTTGCAACGTGAAAGGCATACGAAATTTGGCAGCGATTTTTCAAAATGCATGCGGTAAATTGTATATATGCACATACATACATACATACATACCGACGCTGCTAATTAGCTGGTTGCATATTGGTACTTTGTATATTTACGTTATTAAAATTAATCTTTATTTTCTACATTCAACAAACAGATGGTCTGCTCGCCCCTGTCCGGAAAGATTCCGTTTTATCTGTCAACATAAAATGCCAAAAGTCAGCGAGAAGAATCGTGGCAAGGTGTATACGCGTTGGAATGCCACCTATCCCAATGAGTATGCGAACGAAGTCATATTGGAAGTGATGGATCAGCCGGCCAAAAATGGACGCAGGTAAGTGTTTTGCGAATTGTTGCTTTTATAAGTATGTTTTTATGTATTTGAAGGTAAAAACGAGAAAAAAAACTTGAACTTCGAAGCTAGAATATCCTTCATGTGCATTTCTTATATATATCAAGAGTATAAAACGATCTGTATATTGATTTTCATCGGTCAGTTTGTATAGCAGCTCTATGTTATAGTGGTCTTCCTTCTTACACGAAAAACACCAACAACATTATTCAAATCGTTAAATACTCAGGTGTTTTATTTCAAATATTGTATAGCCAAAATTTGACATTACAACAATTACAATTCCTCGTTCTTTTATGGACCTGCCCAGAGCGTGTATGCGCTGCCTGCAGAGTTGTTCATGCTCCAACATGTTTAACACACTTCTGGTGTTTCTGCAGCACTACTTTCCAACTCCTTCTGCTGCGCTTCCGTTTCCGTTTCCTCCGCGTTTGAAGGCGTTGCAGCAGCCACCGTCGACTCATTCAGTGCTTTATGGATGGCGTCCCTCTCCTCATTTTCCTCACGCGTTAGATACTGATCCCAATGGCTTAGTCGTTTTTGCACCTCCGCCTCGGTTTCGACAATTCTGTTGGTTAAGAGAAATAACCTGAAAATCGCAACTAAATGCTTATAGTTAGTAAAAACTTGCTTGTATTTGGTTTTGCCATCCCAGTGCTCTGCGCTCAGCTTACGCTGTCCAAAGAAACGACCGTGCATCATTTGTATTACAACATCAGCTTCTTCGGGGTCGGCCATATTTACTTGTGCGACGCCTTCGGGATGACGCTGTATATGGAAGTTAGGAAAATCATTTTTAAGAAAATTTGAAAAATTTAATTTACACATTTAACAAAACAAAATAATACTCACATCATATATGACCACCTTCCGGACTGTGCCACATTTGCTGCACTCCTCACGTAACTCATTCTGATAGTCCAATATCAGCTGCACTTCTTTTTCGAAAATAATTGGATCGAAAAGATTTTTAATGATAACCACCTTCTCATTTTTCGAGCGCTCACCGCGCATTTTTTCGGGACGCCAGTCGAAAAGTCTAAGCAAATGAAAAAAAAAATTTGATTATTAGTTTTAATAGAAGAAATTAGGGTATTGCATATTTTTTTTCAATCAAAATTGTGGAACTGACAATTTTCGAAATTCAAAATTTAGACATAATTTCGATTAATTAGTAAAAGCTTTGAGTATTTCAGTTAAGAGAGAAAAAAATTATGCTTCAAGCATGTGTGCGAACTTACACTAAAACAGTAAAAAATATTGAGCTCAAATTTTCGAAATTGAGATTTCTTTTATACCTCAAATTAAAAAAAAAAAAAACAAAAAAAAAACGAGCTGACGGAGTTTTATAGCTCAAATTTTGTCGAGTACATGAACAAAGATTATTTTAACTACGCTCGAAAAATTAAAATAAATATCGACGAATTACGAAGATTTTTAAATAGGAGTTTAATTTAATCAGAAATACTGTTTTACTAATTTTCGAAAATGTTACATGTTGTTGTTGTAACGGAAATATTGCATAAATAATGAAATGATAAATATTTCTTAGTTAGGAAATTATATTCTATCGAAGTGAAATAAATTAGCTGACGTTTTACTTGATGACATACGGTGACCTAAAGTTTGGTCCAAAAAATTGATGGTTTCGTCGACGTTTGACATTGAGGTGAGCAACCAAAGTGCCGTGAATGATTTGCCGGTACATACATATATGGGCTCTATATAAGCGGTTAAGTAGGCTCCGGTCTATGTTTTAAAAAATGATGGCCTTTGGCTTGCAGCACAAATTAACACGATAACTTTCTTAGGATATAGGCGAGTCTAGAGAATCTTTTCAGCGATTTTCGCATTTCTTTTAAGATATAGAAATAAAATAGGAAATTATATACCTCTAAAAGGACGATCAATATTTAATTGTAGTCTCTTATATACATATTTATATAATCATTATTCTTGTCAGCTTGCGAGCGAGATATATTTTTCAAGAAGTCTTAATGCTAAAAGATAAGTGAAAATTCGATTAGCCACTTTTAGGGTGAAACTTTTCATAAATAGTAGTATATGCACTCAAGTGAATTTGATTTGAAAACCTTTAGGCATTGGCCCCGTTACACTTACTTTTCTTTCATTTTCTGCAACTTCTCCTTGTCCTTCTTTTTACGTTTCGGCTTTAAAGCTGGATTATATTCGCCACGCATCTGAAATTTGGCACGTTGCACGCGTATTTTTTGACCTCGAAGATTATACTCATCCAAAATATTTAAAGCCAAGCCTACAGACTCCACCTGCAAATACATAAAACATATATAGATTCATTAGGCGCATAAAAATCGAATAAGAAGCTTATGTCTTAGCTATAGAAAAATTTGAAAGCAAAATAATATTGACAAGATCTCCACTTTCAACTTCCAGATCCAATGTCATCGTAAAGGCTGACGGCAGTGACGAACAGATCGTACTTCCGAAGTCACGCGGCAGAGCCGGACACAATCGCGGACGCACAGGACGTCGTCCAAACCGACCAACCACAATCCATCCGAACGATATCGATGCACAAGCGACTTCGAACTCGCCAACAACCTTGGTACATTACAACGAAATACCGGTGCCGGTTACAGCAACACCCAATCGGGCGCGAACCGGCCAAAAGCAAATGCCGCATGATCGTGTCGTATGGCGACAACGGCAAAAGGAGAAGCGTCGCATGGAACGCAAGAAACAGCGCGCGCAGCAAATGCAGAAGGAGAAGGAACGCGAATGGAAGGAACAACGGATGCGCATACTGGCAAATCAAGAGCGTGAACGACAACGTCACCTGCGGGAACAAGAACAACAAGACCAACAACCGAAATCATACGAACAAACCGAACAACCGCGACGGGAACTGGATGAGCTGCGGCAACGTGAAGCCATCGATCTGGAACGTCAACGTCAGCAGCAGTTGGCCGAAGCCGAAGAAAAACGACGCGAATATGAAAGTCGACATCAAGAATTGGAAGCGATGAAGAAGAAACTTGCCGAAGAGAAGAAGGAACGCGACGACGAATATACTAGCGCGGAGCGCATACGACAGGAGCGTATAGATCGACAGAGAGAACGCGAAGAAAAGGAGCGCAAGGAACGTGAAGAGCAAATGAAAAAAGAGCAGGAAGAACGCGCCAAAGAAGAAGCTAAACGTGAACAAGAACGACTGGAGATGGAGAAGCGACAGCTCGAGGAATATGAAGAACGTTTGAAGCAAGCGCGCGATGAACGTGAACGCCAACTGCACGAACAGCAGGAACGTAAGCGCCAAGAGGACTTGGCCAACCGACGACGTTTGGAGGAAGAAGAGAAGCAGCGGCAAGAAGATATTAAACGACAATTGGAGGAAGAAGAAAAGCGCTTGAAACTGGAACAGCTAGAAGACGCACGCAAGCTGGAGCGACAGGAACTCGAACGACTTGCGGAAGAAAATCGACGACGCGAAGAGAAGCTACGCCAGCGGCAGGAAGAGATCGCCCGGCGCGAAGAGGAACAGCGTAAAATAGAAGAAGAAGAGGAACGCATAAAGAAGGAACTGGAGGAGGCGGAAGAACGACGCAAAGCGGAACACGAAGCGCAAATCAAACTGGAGGAAGAAGCGCTTAAGGCGCGTGCCGAAGCGGAACAAAAAGCTGCCGAGGAGGAGAAACGTAAACGTCTAGAGCGTTTCGATGCATTGAAAAAGCAAGACGACGAACGCCTGCGCCAAGAGGAGAAAGAGAAGAAGCGCAAATATGCAGAGCGTTTGTCACGCCTACCGCCGGAAGATCAACGCAAATTCTTTGAGATGCGCAAACGACGAAAGGCCAAGAAGACACAGGAATTGCTGCAACAAAAACAGACAGCCAATGGCGGCAACGAGGCATATGAGAAAGAGTAGAGGAGAGGCGGGGTAGAAATTCAACAAATCAAATTGGATATTAGAATTTAACGGAATATAACGGTTGAGTGGTAAAACATATGTTTTGTTTTTTTTTTTTTTGGTAAGACACTCAAAGCTCCACCAATCAGTCGACTGTATTTATATTTGTTTTGCTTGATCCCCGCAACTTCATGCGAAATATTATTTAATTAAAATAAGTCATAAGCATAAATATTTTTTTTATAAATTTAAGTCGTTGCTGCCATTAATTCACTTCAATAGGTGTACTTGTAAACGCTCAATATTGTTTTTTAGCTCCTTACAAGTTTGCCATTTTATATTTTCACATACACATAGGTAACATATGCATACATACATATGTGTGTGCGTGAGTGTATAAATATGAAATTGAAAAAAATAACTGAAAATTGGTTTAAACAAAATTATCGCTAAGGCACTTTATAGTATTAGCTTTAGTAGCACACGAGCGGCGCTCCAGTGACTTCGTCTACTGCTCAGCAGCTGTGCTAGCTACGCTCGATTGTAAATTATTATTAATTTATAAGTGGACAACAGGCAGCCGAAGAGGATTAAAAAAATTAAAGAAATAATTGAAAATGAATAAAATAAAGAAAAATAGCAGAAACCGTTTTGTTTGTATAAACATACATATGTATATGTATAAATAGCAGCACGTATGTGTCTGTTGTAAAGTGGAAAAAGAGTTTTATCGCAATGTAACTGTAGTTTATAAACAATTATAATTATATAAAAGCAATAGACTTAACCACACTTTATTGTTAAAGTTATGTGAAAGCACATTTAAAAATTATAAACTGTTTAATTGAATTAAATTAAAATTAAATTTAAAATATTTAAAAAAAAAATTTTAAAAGTTGTTGAAAATTAAATTTAAACAATTTTAAACTAAATTTTAATTAATTCTTTAGTTTTGAAAAATTTTAAGATCAATTTATTTAATAATTAAAAATTTCAAAAAAACTTTTAATAACTTTTTTAATTTAAAATTATGTTTTAATAAAATATATTAAATTTTAAATTTTAATTTTTACTAATTTAATATTAATTTTTTTATTATTAAAAATTTTAAATTTTTATTAATTAACAGAGTTTATATTGTATGAAACTTTTTAATTTTTAAAAATTTAAAATTATTTTTGACAATTTAATTAATTTTTTACTTTTTAATATTTATTTTTTTTTTATTTTTCAAAATTTTAATAAAATTTTTATTATTACTTTAATTTTTAATAACATAAACTGAATTTATTTTAATTTTTTGAGATTTAAAAATTTTTTTTGTTATTGCTCAACTTTTAAATATATAAAAAAATTAATTTTAAAAAATTTTAAATTGATTTTTTGTTAATTTTCAAATTCTAAATATTTAAAAAGAAAATTGTATTTTAAAAATTTAAAAATAAATTTTCATTAACCAACTTTAGCCCTAAAAGTCTTAAATAATACTTTAAAGCAATTTTACATACAAACAAAATACATAAATCATTAAGAAATTGTAAAAAAGGAACAACAAATAAAGCAGAAATAAAAAACTATATGCAACAGCAAAGATTTATAGCAAAAGGAACAGTAATATCAAAATTTTTAAAGCAAAAACATTTCGTTACAAAGCTAAATAAAAATTCACAAAAATGTTAAGCATATTAAATGAGTCTAAAAATCACTTAATATAAGACACTTTTTCCGCACAAAAAAAATAAAATATATTATAAGTATAAGAAAAATTATATATAAACTAATTTAAAACATATTTAGCGCTAAAAATATACTTTTTGAAGCTCTAACTTCATAAAAAATATATAAACTACTAATATAAGCCTTTTGTATTTTTAATTTTAAAACAATAAAATTATAAAAATGTTGTTTAAATAAGTTAAATAAACACTACAAGTTACAACTTGCTCTTAACAAATATTAAATTGATTTTTAATTTTCATTGTTAATAAAAAGCAACTTTAAACCATATTAAAACAATTTTTTTTTTTAACTTTTTTGTTTTTTGAAAATTTAACAACTTGTTGTAAACGATTTCGTATGCAATCGTCTCTTACAATAGAAATATTTGTACATAAAAGCATATAGTATACACAAATACATATGTATATATAAGTACATGAAACAAAGTACATACAATTCATGCTTATGTAAACCGATTCGAAATGTGCAAGAAAACTAAATGCAATTTTCATCTAATTATTACCTCACAGTATGTTTTTCGTCTTGATATTGTAGTATAAACGAGTATATGAATAAATGAAAACGAGCACATAATGAAAACATATTGAATTCTACTTAGATGCTTACATACACACTTACATGCATACGAATACAAAAAAAATTGCATGTAAATATTTAAGAACAATTATGTAATTCAAAGCAAATATAAACATGCGAAACGAGCACCGTAAAATATTTAACTAACCTTAGAATTAAGAGTAAAATGATCGAACGAAAATGTAAGTAAAACAAAAACAGAAGTTTGTTGTAATTGTAATATGAAAGCGTATGTAGGTGTGTAGCTCCAACAATAGATTGAAGCAATGAAAAACATTTTTGGAAATTAGCAAACATGCCGCAGCTACATACAAACATACATTGATAATGTTGAAGATAGAAATAAAATTGAAGCAACAATAAAGTTTTGAAAACTAAACTATATTAAAACACCAATTAATTAATGTTTTATTAATTGATAAACATACAGGAAAGTCCGTTGTATTATTCGGCTGAGTGGCCTTAGTATACTTTTTATTTGAATTAATAAAAATCTCTCTCCCAGTATTATCAGAGCTTTTCAGTAATAGCACTATAACATACATTAACCAGATTTAATACAAGCAATATTAAACAAAATTCCCAGTATTTATTATTTTGCAAAATTATCTGCTGTGGCAAAAGTCACTTTAATTTCCAAACACATTGTCAGAAGTTTTTCACAATTCTACAAAAGCTCTTTACAAGATATATTTCCCAATTTTATCTGAGTATTTCTATAATTCCAGTATTTTTCTACATTAACCACAATTAATATCTGCAATATTGATCGAAATTCCCAATATTTATTATTTTCATAAATTTCCACTATTGACCAGTATTTGTTATTTTCAGAAATTATTTGATGTGATCCAAAGCCCAATATAATTTATTATTCAAGCAATATTATGAAATTTTCTTTTTCATCTTATCAGTATGTTTCCACATTATCCAGTAGCAACTATGCCCAAACTATTAGCCACGATTCTACAAGAACTATAACCCCATCAATGTGTATCTGATAAAAATTTCCCAGTATTAATCAAGAGTTATTACCGCCGTATCATTTACTCGGAAAAATTGTTAATCGTAAGCAGTATTTTCCTGTATTATTCAAGAGTTATTATTATCGATATAAAACAAAAAAATATTTTTATAAATATTATTATTTCCCATTATTTTTTAAAAAATTGTGGACTTTTATGATAAAACTCAGCAAATTATAGGCAATGCTTGCATGTCTTTCAATTAAATAAAGTCAGAGGACTAGCCCGAGGGTTGAAAAATATTAAACGAGGGATAAAAGTAACAAAGCAGGAAATTTTGAAAATGACAATCTTAATTTACGACTTCCCGCAAATAGAAGGAAATTCATCAACTGGAAACCTCGATTCTACAAAACAAAAATCTAACAAAAAATTAAGGCTCTTAAGTGTCTATCAAGCTAGCCATTCGTGAGAAATACGCTGAAGATATCACCAAGGACTTGTATAAAAGAATGAGCTGGACAGAATACGAAAAATAAAGGGATTTTTGGCACTTTTGTCTAAAATTTGCTCACTAAAACAATAATATCCATACAAAACAAGAAAAGCGTTAACTTCGGAGATTGTAGCGATACTTTGCATAATCATCTATTCAAAATTTTGTGAAGATATCTTGTTAAATAAAAATGTTTTCCATACAAGGACTTGATTTTGATCTGTCAGTCTAAATCGATTCAGTTCATTACGCTGATCATTTAAATACAAGCCTATATACTTTATAGGGTCACCGAGGTTTCCTTTTGAGTTTTACAAACATCATGGCAAACTTATTATACCCTGTTCAGGGTATAATGTATGCGTAAGACTATTTTGAATTAAAAAAACGATATAGACCTTATATACTATGTTCTTTAGTAGACCTGATACTCACTTTCATATAATCACACAAGCCATCGCCTTTTAGTTGACCATCGGACTCCGCATACAGTTTCAGTTTATACTTTTGCGTTTGTGGATCGCGCATAATCATGCCGCATTTGCCCATCAGTTCGGCGAACTCATCCATAGTAATGTCCAAAGGTAAATTTGAAACATAAACTTTTGTGTTCTGCTCGGGATCCACCTCAAACCACTCTATAAGTAAGAAATAAAGGATTATTTAAAAAATTGTATTAATGTCAATTTAAATGGACTCACTTGGCGGCTCCTGCGCTTTCCGTTTTATAGCAGATGCACCCTCGCCATTTGCATTTGCCGCCGCCGCGGCTGCAGCAGCCACCTTTGCCTCCTCGGTCATGCGTTGCAACTCGAGTTCCTTCTGCTTTTGCTCTTCCTCTGCTTTACGTCTGGCCTCCTCCTCCGAGGCACTAGTATTATCTATAAAACCGTAATTCATCTGATAGTGCGCCATAAAGTCATCATCGATCTTCGGAAACCAGGCGTTCTTGCTCTCATCCCAAAAGAATACCGTGCCATCTTTATCGGTGTAAATACGTTGGCCGTCCTCGTCGATGTCATAGGTCACATTCGCGGGATCAGTGTTGTTGGCATTCGGTTTGCTGTCTGTTGTTTGTGCGGCGGCCGCTTTTGGTATCCACTCCTTTTTCACCGCATCCCATTTGTAATGATCCGTTTCGGTTGTTTGTTGCTGCACTTTCGGGATCCACTTTTGCGTTTGACTGCACCATTTATAATGCTCATTCTCATAGGGATTTTCGGTGGCTGTTGCAGTACTGTCAGCTTTGTCGGCATCACAAGGCAACCAATTATTTTCGGTTGTACACCATTTGTAGCGGTAATTCGTATTGGGATCCGTATAGATGGCGCTGCCATCTTCTTCATACGTCACATGCTGTGCGTAATTGTCGTCTAACTGTGCTTCAGTAGAAAGTGCCGAAGAGGTTGGTTGCGTCTTTTTATCTGCTTCCCTTAGTTTTGAACTTTCACCCTTTTCGTTGCTAATTTTCGCACCTTCAACTGTGCTCGCGTTTAGTAGGATTTCGGGGACACTATCCACTTCTGAAGAACTTGTCGCACTTTTTACATTTTCTCCCTCAGATTTCTCTGCATTTATACTTTCGGAAGTGTTTTGTTCTTGCTCGCGCGGTGTGGAAGCTTCTTCAATTAGTTCTTTTGAGGTAGATGAAACTATTTCTTCGTGCGGTAAAGTTGATGTTGGCGTTGCAGATGTTGTTGAGGGAATATTTTCTGATGTTTCACTCAACTCGGCATTCTCAATAGATGTTTCCGGCATTTCTTCCGAATTCTCACTCATTTTGCATTATTATTGACTAAAACTAAAGAAATTATACATATTACTTATACGTATTAATTTGAATAAATGATGTGATACAAAATGAAAGGTTGAGTAAAGGGTGTTTTCAGAAAATTTCGGAAAAATAAAAAGCTAATATTTTTACTTCATTGCATGACCCAGGCAATTTGCTAAGATAACTTACATATTGACTGACATATGCGATATAAGGCCAACCGGAAGTTTGGAAATCTTGTATTAGATATATGAGAGATAGCGGTAGTATTGACTCGATTTTATCTATTTTTGGCAATACCGCATACTATTAACAGAATAAAATGACCACTTAGCTTCATTAAGGTACCTGACATGCCATATAATATAAAAAAAAACCGAGAGTTCGAAAATATTAATATAGGCACTGGGGTCGCTTTATTCGGTACCTGAGGACTTGAAGAGTTAATGTGCGATTTTGGAATTTAAAAATGTGCTTTTAGCTCTATTTCGCCCATTTTCACACTGTAACATTGGAATATCATAACAATATTATGTATCGAATTTGGTTGAAATTGGTTGAGTAGGTCCGAAAATATGTGATTTCACCTATAGGTGGGCGATGGCACGTTCACCATCCAATTACCAGCTTTTATAAAGCCCTCCTGTATCATCTCATCATTAAAATTGTAAAATGATTAAGTTATTGATTTGTGGAACCTTGAGTAGTTTTTAACAAAACCGTAATGTGGCGAGTGGGTCGCACTAACGAAGGGGATAACAAAAAAAATTGTTCTGAGCAAATTTAGTTGATTTATTTGTAGTGGTTTGGGAAATACAAGTATGTACATTACAACTATTAGAGGGCGGGCCCCGCTATTTTTTTCATAAGTTTTAAAACCACACATGCCTCTCCCTAATGCAATTCGTTATACCAGTTTGGTATCTTTATGCACTTTGTTGGGTTTCGATTAATTGCGTTTGGTGGGCATGGCAATAGTCCGATTATGAGCAACTGCAATACCAACATTCTTATGGTGCCCAAAAACATGTCTACCAAGTCATCAAAATATCTCAAGTTACAGCTTGCACGGACGGACGTACAAACAGACAGTCGACAGGATTTCAACTTGTCTTATCATACTGATCATTTATACATACATAACCCTATATTTATCTTGATTAGTTTTAGGTAATACAAACAATCGTTTGGTGAATAAAACAATTATAACCTGAAGCAACATCTTGCAAAAGTCTAAAAATTAAATATACACTCAGGTTTTAAGGAATTAATCATAATTTAGGTACTCCTAAGACACGTAATGGAGAAATCTTGTTATTGGCGATTCGGTTTAAATTCTTCGAAATTTTTCTTGTTCGGTTCAGAAGAACATGAAGGGTTTACTATGTCGTTTCCTCATTTTTGAAGCCTATTTCCGATTGCACATTACCAAAAGGCATTAAAAAGTCATTCTCTTTTAAACACACATTCCGCAAGGTGCAAGTGGTAATTTATTTACTTGCAAGTCCGCATATTTCTACTTGAGGCTTAGATGCTGTTTTTACAGTTGACGAAAATGGCGATGAAAAATACAACTTTCGCTTTTGAAAGCGAACGCCACACATACATACATATATATTTTTTCCTAAAGTCAAAGGGCAAAAGAAAGAGAAAACGTATGCCACAATATTTATTTTTTCTCTGCTTATCATCATTACATTTGCCATTGCAAGCCACACGCTCGAATCCTTTTAAAAAATACACATTATGTTTGCAGGAAAGCGCCGCACGTTCCGCGTTCTCGGAGTTGAAGGTCAAAGCGAATGCTTTTGCACTTCACGACTTCCTGTCTTAGCCGTTTGCGTTTATTTTTATACTTGCGGCAATGCGTGCAGCAGGAGGTGTTTGCGTGCCTGGTCTCACCGACCAGTTAAAAAAAAAAACCAAAACCACTGAGAACTTAGTTTGAGTTCTTTATGCTATAAAAGCTTTAGGAAGTTCGAGCAAGTGTCGCACAGTGGCAAACAAATGAATTTTTGGCTTTAATTTCAATAATTCAACGATGTCAATGACCAATTTCTTAGAAATACATATAGACAAATGTATACGTCTGCATGTGTGTTGGTAAAAATGCTTGTTAGTATCGTAAGAATAGTTATTTTAAGCTAAGAAATATCGATCGATAGCTTAGATCAACACAACCACAAAAAACGCTGACTTTCTACCTTAATAAGGTGGAATGTTGGCTTATTGGGCTTTTATTTAGGTTAACATGTTGTTTACTTCATACCTAAATATTTGATTAGCGCAAATGAGGAGCAACAATTTTAGTATGCTAAGAAAATAATTGTTGAGACAGCGAGCGTTCAGTAAACATATCATAAGGAGTATGGTAAGCACAAATATACTAGTGAGGCTTGATATCTTCCGAACCACTTCTTCGGTCATAGCAAAAGAAAGACGTAACAAGAAAAAACGTTAACTTCAGCTGCACCAAAACTGGAATACGCTTAGCAGGTGCATTTCTTATGGCATGAAATGGTAGAAAAAGATCTTTATCTTGATGTTGGTTAATGTGTTTATCGATATATAGTGGTTCGATCTGAACAATTTGTTTAAATATCATAGCGCTGCTTTGGATAATACTATATATATGCCAAATTTCGTGAAGATATTTTGTCTAATAAAAAAGTTTTCCATATAAGGACTTGAGTTTGATCAATCAATTTGTATGGCAGCTATATGCTATAGTGGTACGATATTGGCCATACCCACAAATGAGCAGCTTTTTGGAGAGAAAAGAACGTATGCAAAATTTCAGATCAATATCTGAAAAATAGAGGTACTATATATATATAAAAACGGATAGACCGACACCTTTGCAGAAGAGCGAAGTACGATAATTTTTTGATCGATATCTCCAGATCGTATTCTTTTTAACTGTTTATTAACTTTGACTAGTAATCGTTCAATTTGAAAATACATATATACATATATACATGTATGGTTGAGACATTATCCTAAAAATCTGTAAACATAACGTTGCCTGCTTAGAAAGCGAATAGCCAAAACCCTCGAGAAAAAAGTTGTTTTTGTTGTACCAGCATAAAATTGTGTCCAAAAAGTTTTGGAAAATGTTGCCGAGTTGACAATCATTGGCCAAATATGAATCCAACTTCGCTCCGGTTATGTATACTAGCTAATTGTGGAAATTACATTAAAAAGCCACGATGTGCCAGTCTTAATTAAGAGAATCTTCATAATTTTCTTTCTTTAAAATTGTATTCCATTACTGCTATCAATGCTTTCAGCCTTTGGATCTTTCGTGGGTGGCCTCTATATACCCAATTAAATTTTAAATCTACTTAGTTCAATATTGCTCAATATTTTTTATAAATATTTTGAAAGGATACAACAACTTATCACGTGGAAATCCATAAACACACCGACCCATCAAACTGTCCTAGTATCTGCATCCACGCCTGCTTTCACATATAGAAAATGAGGTGCACAAAAATCAATCAGCACATGACACAGTTCAACGCACTCGATCATTTATTCAGCTCCAACAAAAATTCCTAAAATAACAAAATTGGACAACTTTGAAATTTTCAGAGGCAAGCGTCTATTGCACTTTTCGACTCAACAAGATACCAACAACAAAAATTCAACTTTAAAACGAAACTGAAACTTCTCAACAAAATGAGATAGCAAAGCAAGCAAGTTTTATTTCATTTTTCCGCATCAAAATATGCAGTTCAAGAGGTCAACGTCATGTGGGTCCACAACAACGAAGCATACTTTCTGGCGCAGCTTAAATAACGAGCATTTCATGTGGACACACTGCACTCTAAGTTGTTGTATATGCATGTGCATATCAATCTAGCTTTAACGAGAAATAGCTACTAAGTTGGCGAAACGCCTAAGCTTCCGCATGAAAAACCTACTGTGAAAATATATTCCGTTTTTATGTACTCCAAATATATACTTAGACGATAGGTAGACTAAAATTTAAACTGTTTATGCATCACATCATATACAGCCTACTGGCGTACTTATATTGCACACAGGCTGGATCGTAAAATTTTATAGGAGGTAGCCACTAGAATTGAATGCATATGTTTAGTTGTTAGACTTAGCTGACCATTCGTCCCGGTTTAGACGGGAGAGTCGGGATTCCAAGTAAAGCGTCTTGGTCGTCCTGGGCTTAAAAATTAAAAACGGGACAAACGTGGTCACTTAATGTTAGACATATCGATTATGAATATTTAGATTTGCGAAAGTCTAAGAAGAGTGGATGCGAGGCGAGCAGACAATCAACCAAAAATAATAATAATAATTCTCAGCAGTATTTGGAGCTGTTCAATTTTAATAAACCCGAGTTCTTGCATACCTATGTTAGAAAGTATGAAATATAGCTAAAACATTTCCATCCGGAATTTAACCGAAATTAATTTGAGTAAACTGCACACATTTAAATCGAATACAGATTTTGGGAATATATAACAGTTTCCTAACAAAGTTTTGGTATTTATATTTTTTGTGAATGGGCATGGAATTATTTTCATCGACTATCTTGGAAATGGAAAAATTCATCAACAGCGAGATATATAAAGCGTTATTAGAAAGTTTAAAGGATAAATCACGATTTGGAAGAAAAAGTGCGACACTTTTCTATCTTCAGACCTCGAAAAGGTCGTCGGGAAGAAATTTAGACATGATGAAGAGGTAATCACCGAGACTGAAGGTAATTTTTAATTTTTGAAATTTTTGAAAATTGAAAATTTATCATTAACTACAAAATGGTATCGAAAAGTTGAACTTGGTGTATCACCATCGAGGGCTTCGTTGCAAATTAAAATAAACTTTGGAAAAAAGAGAAATAACGTTAACTTCACAGGTGCATTTTTTATCGCATAAAATGGAATAAAAAGATTTTTATTCTGATTTGGATATGACAGTTTGTATGGCAGATATATGCTAAAGAGATATCGGCGGTTTCGACAAAGGATCAGCTTCTCGGTGCAAAAAGGATATATGCAGATTTA